AATAACAAACAGGCCCTGTTGGGTTAACACACTGCAGTGAATGAATACCGCTCTCTCAAACGGCAACAGTAAAGCCTGTCAGCCCTGCCGGCTCCAAATAAGTCCACGACTCCGCCTGGTCGGTGTTATTGTAACGAACCTTCAAGTTCTGGCCTGACAAGGTCAAAAATGAAAGACCACAGACATATGTGAAATACCCAACGACGATGGTTGATATGCTAAGACTCTCCACGTCATTGGGAAGGCGGAATTGGTAACTGAAGAGCTCTCTACAAGCACCTCCGAGATTGCCTGCCACGATTTCCCAGCGATCAGCAGGAAATTCGTCGTCATCAATTGCCCAAGGCGGCATCAGTGGTTTCGGAATCTCATGACTATGAAGTCTAATGAGTGGCAAGAGCTTGACATTGCGGGACCAGATATGCCTCCTGATCTCAAGCCCCCTTCGAGTAAACGGAGTGATGATGGTGCTTTTTTTGTCGGCGAGCAGTTGGGACATCAATTTCCAGTCCCTTGGGCACCGATTGTCATCCAGAAAGGCCTCAAAAAACCAAGAAAACTCTCCGACCAGGTCTGATAGCTCGGTGGTCAGGTTTTTGGCTTTGGCGTCGTCTGGACATCTCTCGGCGAGTCTGGTTACGTCTAGTATCGTTTGAACATTCACCTCACGTGGGTCAGCGGCCCAAGGCGCATCCTCTGCTTCATCATTGCGTCCATTGATCTCCCAAGGAAACAGGCTGTCCTCTTCTCCGTGTTGCTCTTAGGCCCATTCGGACCTAGGGGGCCTATACGAGTCTTTGGCTGAGTCAAGAGAATAGAAAACCCGGTCAAGGGGGACCGCGGCTGGTGACATGGCTTGCTGGAGGAGGAGTCAACAAGCATCGTGAATTGCGAAGCCGCGCTTGCCAGTACCCAGCCTATGGGTAGCGAATTGATCCTTCTGAGGCCTGGTGTATCCATCGTCGTCATATCTGGCAGCTGTATTTCGTGGCGCAATAAAGCCGCCGCTGCTAGGGTCGTCATAGACGCCAAGTCCAGTCAGGTAAATCTTTCCCTTCTTTGGTGTGATGCAAACTACGGGAGTTAGCAGAGATGTACTCTGTTGAGCACACAGATAGACTCACGACCACGAAATTCGTTTCTCCAGCCGGCACTTATGTCGTATATTCTCCATCCGCAGATAGGACAGCAGATGATGTAGGCACTCATCTTCTCGGTTGTTGGTTGAATTGTTTGGTAATGGAAAAGAAAAAGAAATGAAAACGAGTTGCAGTGTTCACCAAGCCTTTTTATCATTTGAGTCCCCGATATTATGTCTAGCTTTTCCGCCATCAGATGGCTTCCCTAGGTGGACGTTGATACCTGCCACAATCTTCCAACGCAACCTGGAAGCTCTGACAGCAACTCATCGATGAATTCCCTTGAGAAAGGCGTCCAGTATTTGAACAGGTGCAGTGCAGCAACTCTCTTCCGTTTATGCTTGGTACTGACTTCCTTCATGCCGCACAAAGGAGGCAACAACTCCGCAAAAAGGATTCACCCTCCGCGACCAACAGTTGCATTTTTCATCAAGTCAGTCCGGTTAAAGCCATAGACGAGCAATGAAGATATTGCATACCCACCACATCATTACATCAATCCACATTCCTCCCACGCCTCCAACCCAAGTATTT